TTTTCTAGCCAAATCTTTATTCTTGATGTCATTCAAATAATTGATTGTTGCATGCAATGCCATGAACAATAAATTCTTCCAAAGATTCTATCTTTGCCATTGTCAATAATAAATCTTTAACATTATCCTTCAATCCATATCAAAATTGATTGATAAGGGCTTTGTCATTCTAGTCCATGTCACAAACGTGGTGTTGGAATTCAACAACTTATATAGTGGGTAATCGTGTTCCTTGCCATAAAGATAAGACCTTAGTCTTTGTTACTCTTTTTCAATCACTTTCTCCAAATGTAGTCATAAATACTTCTCGGAATGAATTCAAATCATAAAAGAATCAAAATTTCTTTTCCTTTTAACGGTAGAAACCAAAAAAGAGCACTTTTTGATAAAAGTGCACCTATAAATTTAACTTGAGTAAATCCATCTGGATATTGGAAAGGATGCAATCTTAGAAAGAACTTGACTTGTTGTAGAAATCCTTGAAATTTTGATCTTGTTCCATCAAACTTCTCAAGCATGTTAATCCTTTTCCCTGTCACATTTATAGAAGCAAGACTCCCTAGATTTGGTTGCGACATTGATCTACTTATTTTTTTCAACTGCACAATTTCTTGCTACAAACTTTAAACTTCTTCTATATGCATAGGCATAGTATTTCTATGATTCATGTTGGAAATATGTGAAATTTCTACTCTTAGAGTGTTAACAAGCTCAGGAAGATCTACAATAGTTGCAAATCTATTCTCACTTGTACTGGGAGTAGCATCCATAATCTTTCCTTCCATAGACAATTCAAACAAATTCAAAAAATTATATTAGAAGAGGATAATTTGCAACCTCTAATATCAAATGAAAATTTCTACAAAGAAGGATAATCCACTATTTTTAAGAAAAAAATCAGTTTTAGAAAATAAGATTTTTTGTTTAAAGGTGGGTAATCCGTAATCTTTAAAATACAACAATAGAAGTGGGTTAATCCACTCACTTCTAAAACAAGATAGAAATAATAAGTTAGAATTCTTGTCAAATTATTAAAAAAATGAATCTCAAAGAAAGAAAATCCTCAATACACTCTTGTATCATTGAAAAGAACTAAAAAGTCACTCAAAGATGATATATTGTAGAACTACAATGGCTAATGCCAAAGACAAGAAGACTAGAAAGTCTTGGAATAAGACTAAAGATTAGAAAGGTATTTACAAGAGTGAAGAAGGCTTCACTCTTGTCTCTATATGTACTCTTAACTAAGAACTATGTGGAGATGTCCTATAGGACTTCCATAACATGTCGACTTTGTAAGACACATATCTTAACTTACAAGGCAAGTTTCCTATATGTGTGCTACATAATTTGTTTGTTTCGCAAGCTACTAATACATGGTTAACTTGTTGACCAAGTTTCTAATCTATCAATCAATTACAAACATTTATAAAGTCAAAACAACATCTATAAAGCTTCTAGAAAGCTGTTTTAGAAGATATTATGAAATTAACCTACTTTTATCTACTTCTACCTAATTATATAGATATTTATCAAAATACCTATGTATATCCATGACACAAAATTATTACAATGCCTCTATTCTTTGTTGTAATATCCATAGATATAAATCAGTTTCTAAGGATCTTCATCTTATTGATACATTATAAAAGATGATTAAAACTTTATACCTTTATAATAATAAAATTTATAATTAAAAAATATAAAATTAATTAAATATTTAGTTTTATAAATAGTTGGAAAGGTCTTCCATGCTTTAATTGATGCTATGTATTTTGGCATGTAATTGGATTACAATAGTTGCAGTTGCAAATCACAAGATTTAATGAAGATGCATCTCATATTTTTGTATCCTACAAGAAAATACATTCTTGTAGTTGTGAAGGATATACAATGGAATCCTAAAATACATAATACACTCTTATTAGACATAACCTTGTGCAAGAAAGGTTATAAGTTTAATTTAGATGATAATAGAATTGATTGGATCTTTTTTTTGAGTATCATACTCAAATAAAGCATACTTAATAATAAAACTTATCTTACACCTTGTAAAATTGAAAAAATTATTATAATAATTAATTTATCTATCTTAAGTTAAATACTCATTAAATAACACCAAGCATTAGTACATACTTTGATGCATATAATATAAGAGATGAAATGGATAAATAATACCAAAAGATTAAAGTTCAAGGATAAAAAAAATATATATATATATTCATTTGTTAATTATGCATTGTTAGTAAGGCTTATAAGCAATCTTTTCTACACAAGTAAAAGCATACCAACGGTAGTCTAAACATGAAATTATTTAATTTTGGTTATTTTGATGCAACTAATTTTTGTGGTACCAAATGGTTAGCTATGTAGATTGACAAATTATGATTATTGTAGCCTTATATTTCTTCAAACTAAGAACCATGAGCATGTTTCTTATAAATCTTAGGAATTAGAGGAAAAAAAGAGAATAATAAAAAAAAGATGAAGTTTTTTTTCATTGATTATTTGCAGCCATATTTGTGACTTGGGCTTACACTTGTCTTTAACTTGCAAAATTTAGAGGTAAGACACCATATAAAGTTTTCTATGGTAAAAAATCTTTTTTAGAAATTATATTTTGATTTGATTATCATGCTTGATACCATATACTAAAAAAAAAGCATAAAAAGCTGAATTTATGTCCTAATACATGTTGTCTTGTTTGAAAATGCACTAGGCACCTAGTTATAAAAGATGAAGTTGTATTTTACAAATATCCAAAAAAATCCTAATATGTTTCATCTATATAAGAAGAATGGAATTTGAATATTAATTCAAAAGTACTTAAAACTACTACAAAGTGCTCAAAAACACTCTTCTTAGTAACTTTAATCCTACATAAATTCTAATTGCCTTATTACTTTTATAATTAGAAATTTTGATTTATCTTTGCAAGTCTTAATATTAGTCAGTGAATTTTGGCAAGCTGTAACTCCTAATTTGATTGTCCACTTAGTACAAAATTTTGCATGCAAATTCCACTATAAGTCTTTTATATGCTTAGAAAAATTTAGCCCAATCCAATTTATAGATTGTGAGAAAAAGCCCAAAAACTACACTAATGTTACTTGGTCGCCAACTTGAAAGGAGATGTAGATGTTCCAATAGCAATTTCTCCTTCTCCAATTGTTAACTTTAGCTCAAAACTGGTGTGCAGCTTGATCTTGAAGTCTTCTACCACTATGCCAAATTTCACCTTGATCCAATTAGTAGATCTTTAGATATTATAGAAACCCTATCCAATCCCAAATTGTCAACTTCTAATATCCTCTTGTACCAAAATCCAAAGATCTCTCAATTGCACTATTAGATTAACGCAAAATTTTATATGCACTTATTATATCCAATCACCCAAGCATTGTCAAATTTTGAATCATAGATGTGACACCAATTGCACAAACTAGCCAAGAGTGCTAGCCTTAATTATATTGCATAAATTCCAAATCACTAATACAAATCTTGACTTTGAAGAATAAGTGCAAAGTCATTCCAAACCCTTTGAAAACAAGCTTTACACCTCTAGAATCAACTTGAAGCTAGATCATCAATCCTAATTGCCAATCTTTGAATGCCCTCCTACTTTATCCTAGGCAGTCATTTTAGTGGCTAGAGGCTTGATTTTGACCTTGTCTCACAAATAGTCGACCCTTGAATATCAATCTAACCTATCCTAGGGGTTTTTTAGCCCAACCCTACCCTCAACTTAATCCTAATATCAACTATGCTAATTATTTATCTCTTTTAATCTGGTTTTACCAATTTATGGCCTTTCTAAGGCAATAAAAGAGTTTTTGCAACCTAGATGGTAAAATTACTAACCAACTTTAAATCTACTAGCTATTAAGATAAGAAAATAAACTAAGAGGCTTTTATAAAAGCCATGTTTAAATATTTTGAATTATTATTGAAGCAAGATGATTAGATATTAATTAGAAATTTATTTTTGATTATATTTTCACCATATAGTTGTGTTACATTATGACTATGTAAAGGCAAAGAAGGATACATTTGTTGAATATTAACAAAAAAAATACAAGATTTTCTTACATAGGAAGAGAAAATAATTTTGAGTTAAGATGTGGTATTCTTTGATGACAAAGATGAACTGCTTGGTGAATTATTGACTCTTGAAGAAAAAAATGGAAGAAAAAATCTCAAATAAAAAAAAATAGAAATAATTACTTAGCTACAATTTCATCATTAACAAAACTTTTGGATGATTATTGGAATATCTTAAAACCAAAATATTAGAAGTACATGAGGCTATTCCAACTTAAAAGAAATAAAGCTTTGATGTGGCTAAAAGTTGTTAATCTAAAATTTTACAAGCCACTTATTCACTAAGATCAACAAAGCAAAATTGCCAAAAAAATCTACACAACTATAATGTAATCCATCTCTCACCAAATAACAATAAGATAATCATTGTCACATAACACATTATTTCAAAGCCTTTTAAAATTGACCATGTGCCACTTATAAATCATTGATCCTATATAACAATCCAAATACTTGTGTACAATTAGTCAATCAAATCAACATAGAACAAATATTTGTGAAACACTTTACAAAACATGTTAAAAAATTACATATCCACAAAATTATGATTATTTTGCTACTAAGAAAAAAAAAACAACCAACAAATACAATAATCTAGCCAGTGTTCACCTCTGTAAACCTGGTTACAGTATCCCATGGTGATCCAAAGGACTTAAAATCCAAAAAACCAAATTTCACAAGAACTTCTTTGATGTAATTGGTTTAAGATACCGTCATAATGTAGAACTGGCAGCAGCAGGTCACGAAGGGTACGAACAGAAGCTGAACAATGGAAGGAAAGAAGAAGAGAGAGAGAGAGAGAGAGAGAGGGGAGGCAAAGCAGGGCAGAGACAAGAAAGGAGGAGGAGGAGAAGGGCAGCAGTGCAAGGAAGGAAGAGGCGGGATGGGGGGATTAGGGGTTGGGACTTGAGAGGCCGGGTGGGGGCTGGCAGGCACGCAGCAGCAGCACTCGCACCAGCAGGAGGGCCTGATATAGCGACGCCCAGCGTGCAGCAGAGTTCTTTCGTGACCTCCGCCGTCACGCCCCGCTTCGGCTCTCGCCCGCGTCGTTGCAAGCTCAAGCTCGCGCTCCTCCTGCTCCTCTCGCCCGCCCTCGCTTCTTCGACTCTCGCACCGGTATGCTTCCCGGCGTTCCTCTTGTTGACACGCCCTCCTCCCCCTGCCCCCTCCCCTACACTTTGTGGTCTCTGCGCCTCCATTTCTGCTTCTTTTCGAGTTAGGGTTTCGCCCCTTCCATCTCTCCCTGCTTCACTTGCTGTCGTCAGCGTTTGTGTTTACTGTGCGCCGCTTCTTCGTCTCTTGTCAAGCCCTTCCAGTGCGGCGCGCTGCATTCCACCTGTGTTTTCCTCGGGGTCGGTATCGACCGCGGCCAGGGTGATTGGATTGGAGCTCTGATGCGTCAGGGGTCTTGACAGTGTTTTTCTTTTATGCTTCAGGAAGTATGTAATGTTTTTAGGCTTGCGGTGCAAACCCTTCTGGTCTGATTTTTGTGGCGCACTCCTTGCTGCTTCGGTGAGAAGGTTTAAGCTTTTATGCCACAAGGCTCGGAGGATCTTAATACCGTGCGGGTGAAGGGGGTTTCCGCATATAAAATGTTTTGGCTTTATACAGGACACTGACTTTCGTTAGGGTTTGGGCCGGTTGCTGCAGCAAGCATTCCAGCATGGCAGGTTCTGCGCCAGAAGGATCCCAGTTCGACGCGCGCCAGTATGACGCGAAGATGGAGACCATGTAAGTGTTGTGATCTTGAGTCCCTTGTTCTTGCAAACTTGCGTTAGCACCGAGTATTCCATCTACGTAACTGCACGCGCGAACTTTTCGTTGTTGGCTCTCGTCCAGCATCACCTCTTCTCACACCCCTACCCTCCGAGTCTTGCGATGCTGGGACGGCTCCCCTTTGCGCTCTGCGAGTGTGCAATTGTCCACCACGCAGGACCATTTGTGTCCAACCGAGTCATGAAAGTGTTCCGGCAAGGGTATCGTGGGAGGTCTCCAGTCATTCCCGGTAGCTGTCTTTACCGTTGGTGTTGACGCAATATCGATGTGTGACTGGTGTATCTCAGCTTGGGCGGCGAGGGAGAGGACTTCATTTCCACATGGGAGGAGGTCCACGAGACGTTCGACGTGATGGGTCTTCACGAGAACCTTCTGAGGGGCATTTATGCGTACGGTTTCGAGAAGCCGTCGGCCATCCAGCAGCGCGGAATCGTGCCGTTCACGAAGGGGTTGGACGTGATCCAGCAAGCCCAGTCCGGTACGGGTAAGACCGCGACGTTTTGCTCAGGCATCCTGCAGCAGTTGGACTACCAGCTTTTGGAGTGCCAAGCCTTGGTGTTGGCACCCACCCGTGAGCTGGCCCAGCAGATCGAGAAGGTGATGCGCGCACTGGGCGACTACCTTCAGGTGAAGGTGCACGCGTGCGTGGGAGGAACCAGTGTGAGGGAGGACCAGAGGATTTTGCAGGCGGGTGTGCACGTGGTGGTGGGAACACCCGGGCGTGTGTACGACATGTTGCGCAGGAATGCGCTGCGCGCGGATTCCATCAAGTGCTTCGTGCTGGACGAGGCCGATGAGATGCTTTCTCGGGGTTTCAAGGACCAGGTGCGGTGTTGTTGTCGTTGCTGTTGTTGTTGTTGTTGCCAGGTGCCGGTGAGCGTTTGTGGAGAATTGTGTTTGGTCGTGGTGGGAGCGGTGTGGATGGAGTCGCCGGTTCGGGTGCGACGGTCGATGATGTTTTAATTATGCGTTATCTTTCCGAAAGGGGAGTGGAGATTGATTCCTCCTTGTGGAAGCAAGATGGCTGAGACCTTTGCAAGATACGTTTGCACGTTGGTGTGGTGGTAGGGTAGGGAGTGGTTGGAGCAGCGTGGGTGCGTGGCAGTGTCGTGACTTGGCTTGGACGAGTGGCTTACCTGGTGCGGTGTCCATGACGTGCAGATTTACGACATCTTCCAGCTGCTGCCCCAGAAGCTTCAAGTGGGCGTGTTCTCCGCCACCATGCCCCCGGAAGCCCTCGAGATCACGAGGAAGTTCATGAACAAGCCGGTGAAGATCCTGGTGAAGAGGGACGAGTTGACGCTGGAGGGTATCAAGCAGTTCTACGTGAACGTGGACCGCGAGGAGTGGAAGTTGGACACCCTGTGCGACCTGTACGAGACATTGGCGATCACCCAGAGCGTGATCTTCATCAACACCCGGCGGAAGGTGGACTGGTTGACGGACAAGATGCGCGGTAGGGAGATAGAAGGCATCGTGTTGATTGTTTGAAGAGGGTTTGGTTTTCGTGGGGTCGGACCGGGCGGGTGTCGCGTTTCGGGGATGTGGAGTGGCGGGGTGGATGGTGGGCGTGCGTGGGTGTGGCTGTGGTGGTTAGGCCGGAACTGTGTGTGTGTGTGTGTGTGTGTGTGCGCGCGCGCGCGCGCTTGGATAGGATGGTTGGCATGGCGTCCAGCTTGGATGATGTTGTCTGACATTGAGTGGGTCGTGTTTTTTTTCTTTTTCTTTGTGGGGATGGACAGCCCGTGACCACACCGTGTCGGCCACTCACGGAGACATGGATCAGAACACCCGGGACATCATCATGCGAGAGTTCCGTTCGGGGTCTTCCCGAGTTTTGATCACAACGGACCTGTTGGCGCGGGGTATCGACGTGCAGCAGGTGTCTTTGGTGATCAACTACGACCTGCCAACTCAGCCGGAGAACTACCTTCACCGTATCGGTCGCAGTGGGCGGTTCGGGCGCAAGGGAGTAGCGATAAACTTTGTGACGAAGGAGGACGAGCGCATGCTCCAGGACATCCAGAGGTTCTACAACACCGTGGTTGAGGAGCTCCCGTCGAATGTCGCGGATCTTCTGTAGGTCGGGGATAGTTCTGCAGGAGCACGTGAGTTGTAATATGCATACTAGGCTGTTAATGTATTATTTTCTGGTTAAGCTGTACTGTGATGTTCTTTAGTGAGCAGCTTAATCAATTGTGTTTTTGTAAGTGCGTTTCTTTAGTATAGTTTTTTTTAGCATTCCTTTAACATCTTTTCTGTAGCCGGAAATTATTTAACATCTGCCAGATTTTTATGTCTTTGTAGAATTATTGATGTTTCTGTTGCAGTTTCCGCACGGTGGTTGGGTTATGGTGTACGTGGCCTTCGGTTCTATTGAGGGATTTTTCAGTCGGTCAGAATTATTAGGTCTATTTCAGTCACTTTTAAATTTAGTGTGAGAAGGAGACAACGGGAGATTTGTCGTGTGTAAAGTGTTCGGCTCATCGGAATCGCTTGTCTCCTTTCGGATTTGGCTCTGGAATTAAAGGTTTTTATTTACTTTTGTTGTATTGTCGCACTCTTGTTTTAGATGGGTTATCAGATTGCTTATTTTTAAGGATGGCTTCGTAATGGGTGTTCTATTTGCTCTTTGTTTGATCGAGTGGTTCTTCGTCTCTGAATAATGTGGAACACGCTTTGATTATGCTTGTGAACAAAAAAATTCTGTTTCATAATTTTCCTAGCAGAGTCGCGTACACAGGATCTTGTTGCAATTTGTTTTTTGTTATGAATGAAGGTTCCCCCCCCCCTCCACACGTGTGAATTTTAGGAATGTGTATCTTTAGAGTACTATTAAACGTGACGAAATTTTCGCTGATGGACAACGGTAACTTTTGGCGAAGGTTTCCAGTTGCCCTGGGGTACTTCCGTTTTGCCTTTGCCCTCTAGGGGGCACTAATATATATATATATATATACATAGAAATATTGAATATCAATTAGAATCTCTGTCAAGCAGATGTTTCTCTATTTATAAACACTGAAAGCGTTCTAAATAAAGTACCATAGTGAATTTCTAGTCAAGCAGTTAGTCCCATATTATTCTTGTAGTGTCCTAAAAAAAACTTTTGATTACCACAATGTAGCAGCAAATACTCATCTACAAACTTATATTCGTGAGCGAAGTAAATATCTTAAGATGTACAATTTTTATTCTATTCATATATAACTTTTTATTTCATTTTTCTAAGAAAAAATCTTCAAGATGTTTTAAATAGATATACTAGTTAGTTAATTTTGAGTTTGTTGTATCAATTCTTAAACCATCTTACTATTGCTATCAATTTTTAATTTTATGTAAGAAAAGTGATTTCCATGTCAAAAAAACAGCTGGTGTGGTTCTTGCATTTTATAGCAAAGAATCGACGCTGGGGAGAGTTGGACAGGTTTTTGCTGCGACGAGCTGCTCAAGCCAATTAGGGCTTGGAAGTAGCATCATCCGATGGATGAATGGTGTTGCGAGAAGCGTTGGAGGGCAAGCAGTGTGGCAACAGAAGCAGCAGCAACAAAGGTTCTTTAGTACCAGAGAAGGATTTACTGTTAAGACAAGAATGTGGCACAATAAAAGTCTTGAAAATATTTGAGACCAACCGCATTAAACATTTGTTACTCACTAGGGAAAAACTGCACCTTTCGAGCAAAAGACCAGTGATTGTTGAAATTCTCCCTTGGTCTTGACTCACACCTACCTAAGCATGTCAAAATAGCAATAATATTTCAAATAATTTTCATTGTAACGACTCCAGACTAACAGCAAAGGGACTGAATAGGGTTGTTCAATTGGGAGAAAATGAGATTATTCACAAGCGACTGACCTGAAATTGCTTCATTCAGCAAACCACCGTACAGATCCTTGAACTGAAGATAGA